CGCTCAAGTTATCATGATTGTCCTTCCTTGTGCAAGTAGTCAACCCCCCAGCTCAGAGACCGTCCCACTTTCGTGACTGCACAGCGAGCGAGGAGAATGCTCAAAATTCTAGTTCTAACGCCCGCTCAGTTGGCAGCCCACTTGTTTGCTAGATGCCCTCTCCACTTCTGACGCAGGGACGCTCAGTTGTTCTTTGTTGGAGCGGCGGGCATAAATCGGAATTACATGTCCATTTCTGCGTACAGATTACTTTAACAAGAAAAGGCGCCTACGACTTGGGTGAGCGCGGGGACTGTCTTTAACCTTCTCACCTCATATAACTGCTTAACATGTCTTTTTTCTTCTTCGTAGCTATTTTATTTGCTGTTAAAAAATTGAAAATAATGTTTTGCTTGGTAAGATCAAATCTTGTCAATCTAGTTTGTTTTTCAGCCGAGTTGGTCCCTGCAACGCCAGAACTTCCAGCGCGAATCTCTCCCGCTCTCAAGTGAGTTATTTGTACCCGTTCTTCCTTCACTAGATTACAAGGAAAACAGGTGGTATACAGTACATTAGTAGAGAACTGCGCGTGAAATTATATGTGGGAAAAGGAATGGGGGAGAGGGGAAGAGCTCCGCGGTGGGTCCAGGAAGTGAGAGCGACGCTAATTCCGGTTCCCACCAGTGACTGCCTAGACGGAAACTGAGTAGTGTTGTGTGTTCCTACTCCGACGCGCTCGTTTTACGCGCAGTTTGGGGTACTGTATACCGCCTGCTTTCAAAAACTTTAGTCCACTGATATGGTGTTATTCCAGAGAGAATGTCCAGCAAATTGTTCCCGAACCGGTGCCTCCTTTGCCGTTCCAAAGGTAATTTCTTTCACAAAAAGATCTATCATCCTGGATATTTTATAACACTCTTTAGCTTGTTGCTTCCCCACGTGAACGACGAAGTGAAGAAAGAGAAGAAACAAAGAGAAAAGAAAGTGAAACAGCAGAAAGACAGACGAAAAGTGAGTGCTGACTTCAGTTCTTCTAGGTGGTACGGTAAGGTGATTGAGGGGCTGTTTCAGAAGCAACCGGAGGAGAATGAGGTGGCGAAGAAAGAGCGAGAAGCACTAGAGCAGTTACGCTTAGCTGAGGAGCGGTTAGAATTGGAGCGCGCTGAGCAAAGACGAGCTGAGGAAAGGGCTCGATTGCACCTGTTAGAACTCGCCCGTGACACGGCTACCCCACCGATGAGACAAGATTTTCCTGAGGGTGAGCAGATTCTTACTTATTTTTTATTTTTATAATTTGGAAGAGTTAGCCATCTCTAGCATCAATTTTAGCATCGCCGAAGCACTTAAAAATCGTGATAAGTAATCCTCACAGTGATTCGGCCAGCTCTGCTTTTTCACCGCCACGTCAGTTTCTTATTTATACGGTTATGCACCTAGCACATAGTCAGTGTCGTGGGAGGCGAGCTCAAAGGCACCATTCTCGATTGCAGATCGTAGTTTCCAGGGCTCAAAAACAAAGGTACAAGTTGAAGTGAAATTTTTGGGGGAGGATTACCTGCAAATGGGCCTTCAGGCAGCGTTCAGACTTCGCGACGGCGGCACCTTGGTCGTGACGATCGATGCGCATACTTTCGACTATCGATCGCGTCGAACGCGCGACCGAAGCCTGCCGTCGCGAAGTCTGAACGCTGCTTCACGAAGTTGTTGGCTTCATGCTAGCCACAGGTGTAAAAGCGTGGTGTAAAACTCCTTTAGCTCAACTTATCATACTTATTTCCAGCCACTGTTCTTGTTTAGAATTCCAGAGGATAAGCACCGGCACGATTAGCAAAAGTCGCCTCGCTAGCCTTTCTCCGCTCGAAACAAGTACGACCCAACGCGCAGCAAATGGGGGGGGGGGGTGGTTAATCGCGACGTGAGGGCACATCTTTGGAAACAGGAACGAGTCTCAAGTCCTTCGTGCCGCTTCCGGGGTTACTAGAGTAACGAGAATGGTATACTCTGAGAGTGCGGACTGGCTAACAGTGGGTTTTACCTATCGGTCAATCGCGAATGGTATCTTTAAGCTCTGTCGGTTACCACTGTCAGAAAACCTGGTTTGAGGTAGAAAAGGTTGTGATTGTGAACCTGATATAGAACAACAGAAGCAGAGCACACTGTGAGGCTCAATTATATTGTAGTTCGCTGCGGACGGTTGGGCGTGTCAGGCAGGGTGAGTTTGGCGTGGTGCCAAACCCGTTCTCTAGCAGTTGTTAATACGAGTAAATGATATGACTGTATCGTATCGTTCGTATTATTCGTTTTCTACCACTTTTTGTCGCATGCGCCTCGACAAGAAGGTGGAGAACGGGGTGACACACTCATACTGCCTGACACGCCCAACCGTCCACAGCGAACTAGAGCGTACATTGTTCGAATGGGAAATGAAGTGCACGTTGCCCTGTGATGCTAGTTATTGTTGACGTTTTATTTAAGAACTGACAGATAAGTTCACTAGAGCTGATTCGCAGTAAGATAACAGTAGTGATCAGGATGCGCCTTTTACGGCATTTCTTTTGCCGGGTTATTTGAGGATGCTGTTATCTTAGTCATTCCCGTTCTCCGTTACCTCTAACATCATGATTAGTTTGCTAGCGTAGAGTTTGTCCTTGCAAACGATGGGGCGTATGACGCAGCCCGCTTGGAGTGTAGCCAGGGCGCCCTTTTTCCACCAATAATGCAGTGTATCACGCAGCAACTGGCGAGAAATCTGACCTGGCCGCGGGGAGACGGGCAAGAGAATCGTAACATGCCGCTTCGTCGCGCGCGGCAGTGGGCGCGACGTTCCCTCAATTTGCACTATGTTTTCAATTGAAATCGAATTTCATGTAGACAATACATGGTGGGCACTTATGTCTATTTTTGGTCATACATTGTCTATTCTCAATTAATACCACCTGAAATCGTGGTCATTAGCGGGGCGACGTCGCACGCGACGCCCACTGGCACGGCAAATTACGATTCTCTTGCCGCATACCCCTGGCCGCGCTCGAAGCCCTGCCGAATTTGTCATGATAGGCTTTGCCTTCAAAAACTCTGCACAGTTACAGTTGTATGTGACCCATTTTGAAATCCCTTCAACCTACCATTAGTTGCTTGCGTTCTGTATTGTGTGTTCAAGTATCTGCAATGGAAGTATATTCGTGTATTTTTTTGCTTTTAAGCTCCAACTCCACACGCTGCCGCTGAATTGCAACTGCCTGAACCATCACCGATAGCAGGTAAATAATCTTATCAAATAATGACCAGTTGGTGCTTACTTCACACTTCTAGAACTTTTCTAGAAGGTTGTAGAATTTTCTTTGGCTAGGTTCGCGAATTTGATGCTTTGCTTAACCTTACTTTCTTGAACGCTATTGCGTTAGCGACATCCAGTATAGGACATCCGAAGCGGCAGCCTCAGCACACCCTCCATCCTTTCCCAATAGGATCTCCTTTGAAACTTCATTAGATTTTTTTGCGATTCGGGAAGGCCTCCTTGAAGCCGATCCACGGACAACTAAAACTCGATCCCTTCAATGGGCCAAATTTTTGGTTTTCTCTGCGCCCTCACGTCTGCATGGCTTTACATGACTGCTCTGACTTTTACATCCCAACTTTTCTCAACTTTTTCGAAAGTGAAGAAGTGCGGAATGTGCAGACATTCGGAATCCGCAGAAATGAAAAAGCAATTCATACGTATCAATTTTCCGCACTTTCGGCTTTTCTGCAGATTCCGCATTTCTTCACTTTCGGCATTTCTGCATTTCTTCAAGTCAATACGTATCTATTGCTTTTCGTCATTTCTGCAGTTCCGCACTCCTTCAGTTTCGGCATTTCTGCATTACTTCACGAACGCAAGCTATGAACGCGGCCTTTCTCTGCGCTCTGGCCTTTCGCAGAAGGACCCAAAGTTTTAGTTGTCATGTAACTTTCGAAGTTCGATTGATCACGCTCTTCGCTGACCGAGCAAAACTCCCCAATTGGATTCTTCCAACCATGCTGTAGCGTTTAGACTTCGCAATGACGCGCTACAATTGCAACGCTCCAATGCCAAAGACGCAAACGCTATCTAAAGCCTGACCGCTGTCTAATTGTATTATATGTCCTAGAGCCGAAGTATGACAATGATTCCGACACGATTCCTTTCTTCGATGACGCTGTCACTGTCACGGAAGAGGTAGCGAGTGAACCACTAGAAACAACTTTTCCGTTGAACATCAGCGTAGATGAGCCCACATCTCCTCAGAAAAGAAGAAGAGAAAGGATAAAGTAAGTTAATCATCCGCCGATCCATGTCTAAAATTTCGGGTTCATATATTCGTTGTCCGATAGGAGAGGGATCGTTCGGATTCGCCGCATAGAAAAGAGAAGAAGAGAGACAAGGAGCATAAGAAGAAGAAGAAGAAAAGGAACGAGAAAGGGAACGGCACAAGGATAGTCGTGATAGCGATGAACATCAGCATGCCTCGAAGCTCTTCAGTTAAAGAATGTGAGATTTTATACTTTTCTTGATTTAGTACTCCGCGTTCAGATATCTGTTCCAACTCATTGTTTCAAGCTCATGAGCCGAAGTTCACTTTGAAAATTCGCATTGGTGATCAAACGTCCACAACGGAAACAATCGCTGAAGCTAGCCCACAGCCGTAGAACCTGTGAAAATTAGTTCAAAAATTTTCCTGCGTGAGTTACTATGTGTATTTCCGATCGATTATTACTAGACTTCATTTCCGTTTTATTTCCGTGATGGTAATCGGATTTGAATTGCAGTGTAGAAACCAAAAAAGGAAGAGCAAAAATGGTGCTCCCCTAAAACTTGGTTCGTTTTCCGGGACAAAAGATGTGAAGGAGACTAACGCTGAACCGAAGAGGAAGTTCTACACAAAGGCTGAAGTTAGTTTGTAAACGTTTTCAGGTAACTAGAAGCTTTTTCTTTCGTCATGTAGTGTTTGTGATGGTTACTTTATTGATGAATTGACTTTATTGATGAATTGAGTAATTCCTGAACTGGAAGCCTTGCTTATTTCCTGTCAGGCAAGCTGGACGTGCTTGCAAGGCGCCATTAAAGACACATGGTACGCTCAACACATTGAGGATGAGACTATCAGCCCCAGCTTGTCGAATGTTCGTGGTCCCCCGCCCGAAACTGCACGGGGTCAGAGTACGGGTCCGTGGGAAAGTCGTAATTCCTTGCTACACCGCCCTCATGTTTATGCTAACACCGTTCGCGCGGCGCGGTCGCGTGCAGCTCTCTTGGCTTGCCAAAGTCCTGTAATTGCCGCTTTGGAATACAAGTACAAAACGTAATTTCTTATGCGCGATAACATTTTAGGTTCTGCAAAATAAGAACTGAAGATGATAACGAGGGCTAGGACATCAAGAGCACTGTGCTACTTTTGCCAACAGCGCCTCGCAGGCCGCGCATTCTCACAAAACATCAAATATAAAACGGCCTAAGCGTCCCACTCGTTAATTTTAAGTATTTCTATAGCATTAGAGCCGGATTCGAAGCCGGGATCGTAGAAATGCACACGCGATTTAATTTTATTGCGTTTTCCTTAGTTTTTGCAATTTTGATTCATTCACATCTACATTCGTTGTTGTTCATTTCTAGCCTTTGTCATCTTCATCACCTTCTATTCGGACTTTAGCATGAGCAATACCACAAATGTTTAGAAAATTGCGTTTTGCTTGTATTGTCATGTTTTATCTTGTCATGTTGTCCATTTTTATTTTTTTTGTTGTACTATGGAATGCGCAGCCTCTGAGGGATACTGCAGTAGCAGCACAGTTGCTCTTGAGTTCTAGCCCCTCGTCATCATCTTCGGTTCTTATTTTGCAGCACCTAAAAAGTTATCCGCATAAAGGAATTGCGTTGTACTTGTATTCCAAAGCTGAATAGAGGACTTGGCAAGAAGCCAAGCAGAGCTGCACGCGACCGCGCCGCCGCGAACGGTGTTAGTATAAACGTGAGGGCGGTGTGTAGCAAGGAATTACGACTTTTCCACCGCCCCATACTCTGATCCCGTGCAGTGTTGGGCGGGGGATCACGACACATCGACAACTGGGGGGCGGGGCGGGCCTGATTCACCCATATATATAATTGCTTGTCTGTTGGTGTTTGTTCTTTTGTAAGTTTTGTTGTTTGTAAGTTTGTTTGTTTGTTAGTGTTGTTTGTTTGTAAGTTTGTCTTGTTTGTTTGTAAGTTTGTTTGTTTGTAAGTTTGTCTGTCCGGAAATTCGGTTGACCTGAAGACGATTTGGGAGAAGCGCACCGCGTCAAGGTGGGGCATGGGTACGGAGTGGGACAAGAAATAAAAATAGGCACACTTGCACCTAAAGGAAGCTCCCCCATCAGTGGAGCGGGGACTCCCGAAAGTTCTGGGTCTTCCGCCCAAAAATGCTCATTAATTCGATTCCGGGGAGCTAATAGATGGTGGGAAAAAGGGAATATAGGTTAGGTAAGCGAAGTCGCCAGACTAATGTGAGTAGGTAACACCGCTAAATGGACGGGGCGTACTCAAGGTGGGCGGTGCTTTCGCCAAATAATTCAGTAAACCGCGCTTGCGCCGAGAGTCGCTTGCGAAGTCGCAAAAGCTCAGTTTAGAATGTAAATATCTAGTCGCGGAATATTAGCGCGCCACGCTCAAAGCATGGTGCAGACGCCGCCCCAGTGGGGGCTTGCCTAAATCGCAGGGTATTTATTTAAATGTTTGTAGCTCGCCGTTCAGAAACACTCCAAATAACGCGAAAAAAAGTGCGATTAAGTTCAGCAGAGCGGTCGTCGGTTAAGATTGTTAGGGCAGAAAATTGCTGGGCGGAGCCTGCCCTGCCGAGCGTGCGGCGGAGCCAGACATAAAGGTCTGTTTTAAACGTCCCAGAAGCACTTAAAGACCGAAAAAAGTGGATTAAGTCAGCAGAGGGGTCGTACGTGTGAGGATAGTCGGGCAAAACATCATTGTGGGTGGAGCCTGCTCGAGCGTGGGTGGAGTCAGACAAAGATTTGTAAAACGTCAGAGCACTTCCAAAGACGCGGAAAAAATGTGGATAAGGTCAGCAGAGGGTGGGGTGAGACGTGGCAAAAAACATGGTGCCGGGGCAGCCTGGGCCTTCGCAGCGTGGGTGGAGTCAGACAAAAAGATTGTAAATGCGTCCCAGACAGCATTAAAGAACCGGAAAAAAAGTGCGATTAAGGTTCCAGCAGGGGTCGCGGCGTGAGGACTGTGGGGCAAAACATTAGTGGGCGGGGCCTGCTTCGAGCGTGAGTGAGTCAGACAAAAGATCTGTAAATGGTCCAGAGCACTTCAAAGACCGGAAAAAAGTGATTAAGTTCAGCAGAGGGTGTCCGTTAAGATTGTAGCGGCAAAAAATTGTGGCGGAGCCTGCTCCGACGGTGGGCGAGCCAGACAAAAAGGTCTGTTAAAAGGTTCCAAGCAGCACTTCAAAGACCGGAAAAAAAGTGGATTAAGGTAGCAGAGGGTCGGTCGGCTGATGGACTGCTGGGCAAAACATTGTGGGCGGAGCCTGCCTCCGAGGTGGGACGGAGTCAGACAAAAGATCTGATAAAAACGGTCCACAGAGCCACTTCAAAAACCAGGAAAAAAGTGGATTAAGGTCAGCAGAGGATCGCGGGTGCAGGACTGTGGGGCAAAAAACATTGATGGGCGGAGGCCTGCTTCGAGGTGGGTGGAGTCAGGCCAAAGATCTAGAAATGGTCCAGAGCCACTTCAAAGACCGGAAAAAGTGGGATTAAGTGTAGCAGGAGGCGTCGCGGGTGAGGACTGTGGCGGGCAAAACATGTGGGCGGGGACTAGCTTCGAGTGGGGTGGCAGTCCAGAAAAAAGTCTGTAAATGGTCCCGAGCACTTTCAAAACCGGAAAAAGTGGATTAAGGTCAAGCAGAAGGTCGCGGGTGAGGACTTGTGCCGGGCAAAAACATTGTGGCGGGCGCTGCTTCGAGGCTGGGTGGAGTCAGCACAAAAGATTGTCAATGGTCCCAGAGCACTTAAAGACCGAAAAAAAAGTGCGATGCAAGGTCAAGCAGAGGATCTCGCTGGTTAGGATGTGGGACAAAAAACATTGTGGGCGAGGCCTGACCTTTCGAGGTGGGCGGAGTCAGAACGAAAATTCCTAAAACGTGTCAGAGCACTTAAAAGCGGAAAAAACGTGGATTAAGGTCCGAGGAAGAGGGTGTCGGTGAAGATTGTGGGGCAAAACCAGTGTGGGCCGGCGGCTGCTCCGAGCGCTGGACGGATTCAGACGTAAGAATCTGTCTGTAAATAGCTCAAGATTCTGCAGACAACCGGAAAAAAAAATGGAGTACGGCAACAAAAGGGGGATGTCAGTTGCAATCTAGAAATATGCTGAAAGAAGCCACGGCGGCGAAGCCGCGCCGCCCGGCCGGCAGCCGGGCCGAATGCAGAAGGAGCCACGCCGGCGTCAAGCTCGCGAGGCGACTGGTAATCTCATACACCTAATGTGTTTGAGCGTACACTTTCTCTATGTAAAAACTGCCAACATTTGGTAATATACAGGATGAATCGGTAACTTGCCGCGTCGGCAGATGTGGCAGGCAACGCCGCGCTGCGAGGGCGACCGCACTATGACTACTAAGGATGCTGAAGTGTCCGGATGCTCCATAATGGTCAGCCGAACCCTTAAAACTACTGTGACATTGGTATATGAACATGAGAATCGTAACTTGTCGCGTCGGCAGGGTGGCGGGCGACGCCGCGCTGCGAGAGGCGACCGCACGATGACTACTAAGGATGCTGAAGTGTTTGGATGCTCCATATCTTCAGCCATGCAGCAATAGAGGGTGCAGAATATGCTGGGCGTAAACAGGAAAAAATGATAAAAATTTGCCAACGATCCTCACGAGGGTCACTGCTTCAAACTAAATACCGACGCATAGTTTGAATTCCCCGCGTTCAACGCCTGACGGTGCGCCGCGCGCGACGGTGCGGCAAATTGCGGTTCTCTTGTCCGTCACGCCTGTAATACCACAAAATGGTTCGAGCTTCACTTTATATACTTTATATGTTTCAATACACCGTGTCAGCAGAATAAGATACCCCCTCCCCTTTCTCCCATAGCCGGCTAACACTAGGATGAGTATATCAGAAAACGCGCGGTCACATCCCATTCAGACCTTCCTCCAATAACCTTATCTGGACTGCCCGCCCTCAGCCATCGCCCCCAGTGCCTTTGAAAGCTGTTAATTTGTGGATCTGAAATGAAAGCAGAGATGCTGAATGCTGCTAGAGTGGAGAAGGTATTCGACTGAAATGTGAAATCAGCGAAATGAGCTTCCTATCATGCCCTTTGATTCGCCATGCCGTTTGATCTTGGACAGTGGACGAGCTAGCTGGCATTATGTCACCGCGAATCAAAGGACACCATCAGCGCCGCCCTCTCCCTCTCTGCCGCAAGAGCTAAGGCGTAAAGGGAAAGACATCACTGGTCAAGGCGGTCAGGTGAAGTGAACGAGTGCCTTGGTAGGGTCGGAGGAATCAGAAGCGATTAATCGCGTTTAGCTTTGAGCACCTGGCTGTCATAAACCCATCACCTGCTCATTGGCCTTTCTATTAATGCCGAAATTATCAAACTGCCTTGGTTTACTATCCGTTTGGAAGCAAGAACCACTTTTTTTGTTGTTGTTTTGCCTGAGCGCGTGTATTGTATATTCTGAATCATTTTTATGTTTGTATTTCCGTCAACATCTTTTATTTTCAGCTTAAAGCACCTGCTCCGGCGTTTTCGAGTTTTGCTGGCAAACCTTCCAAAGAAGAACGTAAGAAGAAAAAGAAGAAGGAAGATGAGGACAGGAAGCGGGAAAAAGAAGAACGGAAGCAACGAGAAAAGGAAGAGAAAAGAAGACAAGAAATGGAGCGGGAGTTGCAACTGCAGCGGGAACGTGAAAAGGAGTTTGAACGTGAGCGCGAACGTGAACGTGAACGTGAGCGCGAGGAGCGCGAACGTGAACGTGAACGGGAACGAGAACGAGAACGGGAGCGAGAACGAGAACGTGAGCGGGAGCGGGAACGGGAACGGGAAAAAGAAAAGGAAAGGGAACGAGAACGTGAACGAGAAATGGCCGAGCAGAAGGAAAAAGAACAACGAGAAAAGGAACAAAGAGAAAAGGAACGAGAAAAGCAACGACGTGAGAAGGAATCGCAGCTACCTCCACCAGTGACGGCGTTCGTCAAAGCAGGTGTGATACAGTTTTGACCACCTCAGCTTTATTATCTTTTACTTTACAAAAACGCAAATTTTTTTCAAGCGACTAAATTTGACTCATCCTTTTTCGTTTTGTAATGCTTTTTCGAATTCAGAAAAGAAAAAAGTGAAGAAGAATAAAGAGAAACGACGCAGTAAGGAAGAGAAAAAGAATCAGGTAGTTTTGTATTTCTAGAATTTTATTTGTTTAATAAGCAGTATCAGTTGTGTTGTGTTAGTCTTGTCTGCAGACTTGTTCGCCGGAATAATGGGGCGTGTCAGGTGGGGCAGGTATGGCGCGGTGCCAGACGTCTCTCTCTTTTCCTTTCGGCGAGCGAGAAGACTGTATCATATCGTTCGCATCAGTCGTTTTCCACCATTTATTGTCGCTCACCCGCTTCATCGGGAATGTATTGGCTGCGCGCCAAACCCAACCTTACTGGCACGCCCCGTCATCAGCAGCGACCTAGATCTTATTCATTTCTCGGTTATTCATGTGTTGGTTCTTATTTCAGGTCGAAGTGGTGGCTCCTATTCCTGACGACAACTCGGAGGAAGGAGATGACGACAGTTCTGATGTTGTTCGTGTTTACTACTTTCCTTTTATGAAGTTTGGAACAAACTATTAGAGCAAACGTCTAGGTGTGGATTTGCCCTTCGTGTTCCGTTGCTTGGACAGAAGGCGCTACAATGGTTTGCTGCGACATGTGTGACAACTGGTTCCACTGGTAAGCTATTTTAGTACTTGTAATATGTAGCATGTAACTTTTCTCCGTTTGGATGTGGTGGAAAAGAGCTGGCGCCGCGCCATATTAGCTCTCCGGCCATCCCTATCACGCCCGGCTTCTGCAGCGAAAACGACTGGGTGTCTACTGGTTAGGTATCCGTCTTCCATATCTAATGCTGACCTCTAAAAGAAGTTGCAGAGGTTTTTTCCTCGGGGTGCTTACCTACACTCAATACAGATTTCAAGCCTGATTTTAATGTGGGACCGCAGCTCAATGGTTAAGTGGTACCCACGCCCACTTTGGGAAGCTCTGCCCACTCTATTTCGGAATCCAAAGCAGCTTCAACATTTTTGCGCCAATTTGAAAACTTTTCACATGTGCAAAATCTAAGATTCATTCCAGGCATTGCGTAGGCCTAATCGTTGCACCTCCTGACGATGTACCGTGGTTTTGTCAAAAATGTGCTTGTAAAAAGCAGAGCGAAAAGTCAGGTAAACGTCCAGGAAGTAAGCTAGAGGGATCTGTTCGAAAAAGAAAGAAACTGCCCTGAAGTTTGTCATATAACTTTGTCAGAATTGACTTCGTATACCGTTCTGGTCATGATTTTTCATTTTCTATAGAGTTATTGTTAAATTCACTGATCTCAAGTAGAGGTCGTTGCTAGCATAATGTGATGACATTGATTTGTTTACTAGTATTTTTCTTAACGATTCGCCTGTTGTATTTTGTATGAGGACTATACTCTAGTTCGCGGCGGATGAAGGGGCGTGTCAGGCGGTATGATTGCGCCACGGCGCTGAAGAGGGTATGCGACGTCAGTTGGTAGTAAATCAGTGATACTAATGATATGATGTAGTCTCGTCACTTGTTTGTTTCAATAACTGGTGAGGAACGAGTTGGCATCGCGCGAAACTCATCCCGCAGACACGCCCCTTCGTCCGCATCGAACTAGGCTGTACATTGCACGGACAGCGTGCGATGGTGGCATTTCACGGCGTTCTATCGTGCAAGATCAGGAAATTTCTCCAATTGTGATACTCGATATTCGCCACTATAAGGTTTAATTATTTGCAAGATATATTTGTGCTCAACTTTAGCTTCCTCTTCCCTCAAGCTATTATCTGCTGTCTGCTTCAAGCACCTCACTAATTCTGCGCCATGCTAGGTGTCAGCAATCAAGCGCGCGGACGCGAAGCGGTCAGAATATGCGGCGAAAATTTAGCCGAACTTAGTGACTGCCTTCGCATTTCGCAAAGAGGTTTTTCAACGTTTTCGACTGACTCCTTCGTGGCTGTGTGCCCGGTTGTTATGTGCCATGCAAGGATTTCGGATAAGACAAGTGCTTCAAGGGTACTGTACATTCTTTTCATGAAGGATGAAAATTATTATTTTTTTTGTCTGTAAGGACATTTTTGTCCTGCAGTTTGACCTTTTGAAATGCAGGTATATTGTATCAAAGACCTTTCTCTCTGAATGTTACGGAGCGTTGCTGCTCATTATTCGCCTCGCTAGTTTGTGATTTTGTACTCTAGTTTTCTAATCCATCGCATCGTCATCATCGTTGTTCGTGTCGCTCCAGCAATTTGCTAGGCAGCGTTCAGACTTTGCGATGACGCGCGTCGACGTCTACAACTCGCTACAATAGCAACAGCGCTCCAAGGCTATGGACGCGAACGCAGCCGCTGGCTGAAATTGGTCGGCTCCGGCAGCTTGTGTACTGAGAGTTTGGGGGGAACAGGAGCGTGCGCGTTTACGCAGTCTGGTATCGATCGGCATTAGCCGATAGTGCTTTGGGTGAGTTCCAGTGTGTGAAGGCAACGTCTGTCCTCCCCTTATCCCATTTCATCTTCAAACGCAAGCGGCTGATGTCTTTACATTCTCGTCTGCGGCTGTGTTCGCGTCTACAGGACTGGAGCGTTGTTGCAGTTGTAGCGCGTTGACGCACGTTAGAGCGCGTCAGCGCGAAGTCTGAACACTGCCTTAGTTCGCTCGTCGATTTGCCTTTCTTTTCGTTCTCATGTTTTTCTCAACGTCACTCTGGTGGTCATATATGATGAAGGTCGTATTGACCGTTTTATTGTATAATAATAATTTTATTGGAGAAGGTACGAAGTTTTGTTAGTTTTGAAATGAAATAGGTGAATAGAGGAGTGTGCGTATATGTCCTGCACTATACGTACACTCTTTTTGGGAATACCTTTATCCTGAAGAGAAGTGTAATGATCATGTTCTAGCTGGATATTATTGTTTTTCTGATGCCCTCTGAAGATGATGATTGTTTCGTTTGAAGATTTCATAAATTCCTTACATATGTTTGATTGTTAGAAAGTTGGGCGAAGTTCGGCGACGAGGGGGGGGGGGTATTTTGCACTTTTGATACTTCCCATCGACCGACCCATCCAGACAGTCCCCGAGTTAAAAGGTTTCACCATGATGGCTTCAAGAGCTTGCTTCAGCTCCACAGGAATTCACAAGTTTCACCAGAGTGAGACTTGTAAACCCGAACTAGTGAAGCAACGAAAGTGTAGAACGCCCCCCCCCTCCGTCTCCGAACTGCATCGAAATGTGGAGCTGAACTAAAGTAAAGAGCTAGCAGGTCTCTCGATGAGATCATCATCTGCACGGGAACGGTAGTGATGGTAGTGATAACCTGGTGCCGACTCCATGTTCCGCTCGCACAATCTTCAAGATGCAGCATTTGCATCGATACTAAGGTCCCGCAACGAAACATGCACTCAGTGGAGAGTAACTAGAAGTGAGAGGGCACAGATAGGTAGCGCGTTTGGCTAGGGTTGGGTGCTTGGGTAGCAGTGCAGCTCCGCGAGGCGAAGTATGATGTCGGCATTAGGGTATCACTGCACTCCAGCCCTTTCCTTGCAGTTTTGACCGCAGAAAATGGCACGCTACTCCGAATCTCTTAACAGACGGCAAGTATCATGATGTACAAAGGTTTGGTTCGTCTTCGGCAAAGTGAGGCTTATTCATGAGCAGTGACCATGTCGTCGTGTACGCAAGAACATCGTGTGCGATGGCTGGCTAAACTACATAAGAGTTTACTGCATCGAAAAAAAACCCATAAAGGCCAAGCTTTTCCAGTGGATGAGTCCTCTTTCAGGGGCCTGACGCGCACGGCCCTTGCTTTTAAGTTTGTTGGGTCGTTCAAATGCGATATGGCTTGTGAGGCGAGTTGCGGATCAGCCTTTGAGGTTAGGCTAGACGTACTGCAGCGCGTTCTTCACCAGTTGTTGGAGCGGGTAAGCGTTGAGACTTGTTGGAAACTACTGATGCGAGCGATATGATGCAACGTTTTGCTTACCGAAAGACAAAGAAAAGAGACGGACTGTCGCCATTCCAAGCTCATCAACCCCCGACACGAACCATAATTCTCAGCGAACATGACTGTACGAGTCAGTGTTTTGTCTTCTCCGACAACTTTGGCTTCAGCTATTCAGTCCCGGGGTGATGCTTGGTTGGTTCCTTCTATGCACCATCTCCACCTCACGAAATTTGAATATTAATGTGTTCGGCTACATCGTATTAAGTACTGTTCCCATTTGTTGCTGACTTGAGGGAGAACAAGTCGGGCAAACGGGATAAAATACGATTTCGAGGACTGCTCCAAGATTTTCCTCCAACTATGTGATGATCTCTGCATTGACATATTCACAGACCTTTAGAAAGAATACAGTATCATAAGTCGTGCTACCGGCTGCTTATTCTTGGCCATAAGATTAATCAGCTCGCCTTATGCCGAAGCATCAACACGCAGATTAGACGGGTAATGTGACCTTCAGGAATGAAATGCCATGCATTCACGCAGTAGTTACGTCAGCTTGAAAATAAAAAGCTCTCAGAAGGGTTGCACCAGATTAGGTCCTTCACATGATATCATGAAAAATGTAGCTCATTAATGTGCGCACGCCCCGCCCACAGTGGGCGGGGCCTATCTTAGTTCATGTGTGTTCCGTACATCTTGGCCCATGCCCTATCCTTACATCTTGGCCCATGCCCTACCCGACCCACCCTTGAATTGCCCCCTCCAAGTGGCTCTTCAGGTGATTCCGAATTTCCGGACAGACAGACTTACAAACAGACTTATAGACAGACAGACGTTTCCGTTCATATACAGGGGGGGGGGCAAAAAAAGGCTTTTTTCTTCCTTGACATTCGAGGCGTTGTAAGTTACACTTTATTGAATTCTTATCGGATACTTTCACCACTATATTAAAGAGCATATCAAACACTATTGATACTCCGCCACAGCCTACTGGAAGAGCGCCATCGAGAGATTCTGCCACGCACCGTGAATGGGTGCCTGAGATCAGCGAGATAGTCAATTTCTCCGCCACGGAGCCCACAGTGATTGAACTCCGCCCGGACCAGGTAATTGAGGGGGTTGTGGTCAGATGACCTGCTTAATATTCCACCTTCCTCAGGTACTCAACGCCCCCTCCATTCCAAGTAGGCGAGTGTTCCTCCAACGCCCTTCAATTTCATGGTGGTGGCACTCAATGCTGTAGCAGTACAAAGTTTCCAAGAAGGTACGGGCGACGACATGTGGGATGGATATTCTTCTCGAGTTGCTCGATGTAACCGCCAGTGCTCACCTTCAGTCCGTTGCCGCGAAGAAAATATTGGTCTCTCCATTCCAGGTACGTCCGGTCCCTACCATCAACTGGCGCCTTGGCGACTGGGGTGAAGATGATGTCCTGGACCGTAGCGACGTTGACGGAGCTGCTCGATGTTGGAGATCATCCAGATCGAGAGTACTAGTCTTCAGGTAGCTACCCATGTGTAACTCCACACTAGAAGTTTCGCAGCTGTTTGGAGGTGACATGAGTTCCGAAGGTCTTCTCCAGTCAGGTTGCGGCTGGAGATGACCTCATATTTTGGTGTACATGAAGGCGATGGGCGAGCGCCAGCTCCTGCTTATAGAGGAACATCTTGGGTATCCTCCGCCCTGGTACTCGTATCCACGTTCTCTGTCTGGGCTGCGAAAACTTTGCTGATATGTGACTCGTCGAAATGTCTTTTTTTTGGCCCCTCCCCTGTATAGTAGGATATGCCGCCGCGCTTATGGACGTGGCGAGCGACGCCGCGCCTGCGGAAGACGAGTTGTCTTCCCTGAGCGCTTAACTTCTAATGTTGAAAGGTGGGAGAAAAATCGATATTACTCCCGCCTCCCCTTGAATTTACTTGAGTTCTGCTGCTCAATCTACAAAATGACTGACTTTGAGAACTTACGGTACATTGCCGCACGATGCGCGAGGCACGACGGCGCGGGGAATCGTAATGGTCTAGTCCGTCTTCCAGCGAGTAAGAGAGAGACGGAAGACGCGACTGCGCGGCTAAGCCTGGTCGTCTGCAATTTCTCGCCTCTGCTTGCTCAAGGCTCAACTTTCAAAAGCGCAGAACTAGACAGAAACAATGCGGACTATTCTCACCGAAAGTACCCCAATCGTTCGCTTCTATCGAGTAGCGTGGCTCAGGTGGTCTGGATCTGGAAAGGATAAAGCAGACGCTTTGGGGTGCGATCAGCTCATCAAATGC